TGTTGGATTGCATGGTTCCCAATAAAGTAAATTCTGCTGTTCGAAATATTAAGTTGAACCGAATGTTCTGTCGCACCATTTTCAAAAATTCATAACTTCTGATTTTTGCTACCGATCTGACTGCTTCTATTTTTGTATGTAAGAGAAAGTCATGCTCTTTATAATGACATCTTTGCCGCTTACCAATGATCATATATTGCATAGATATAAGCGGTAGAATAAAAGTGGTTAAAATTTGAATTTTCTGTGTAGGGTCATAAAAATCGGAAACTACAAAAATCGGAGCAGTCAGTATAATAAGTTCTTTCACCAGCTCTTTCTAACTATGCAAAGTTTGCGCTGATTGAGCGTCTCTATGAAAAGTTACGATTTTCGAGCAAGCAATACAAAAGGGCGAATTTGATTTATTTTGGCATTTTTCAGGGAAATCATAATTTTCTTAGAGACGCTCAATCGGCGCAAATTTTGCACTGTTAGAAAGAGCTGGTGAAAGAACCTACAGTACTGACTGCTCCGATTTTTGTTGCATGTCTCCGATTTTTTATGACTCTACACAGAAAATTCAAATTTTGACTAATTTTCTTCTATCGTTCCTATCTATGCAACAGATGACCAGTAAGCAGCAAAGGTGCCATTATAAAAAGCATGGCTTACTCTTACATAAACAATAAAAACAATCAAATAGCAAAAGTCAGAGGTTATGAATTTTTGAAAATGGTGCGACAGAATTTCCGTTCAATCTAATGAGTGTCCCAAAAAATGTATCGAACATTTGATCGTTAATATCTCTCTTCTAAAGAAGTCTTTTCTCTAGCTTCAGGTACCAATCTGTAGAGCTGGCTTCAACTTAGATTTGCATTATAAAACGAATCACTCATTTCTCTTCATTACTGTGGGATTACGGCAGAAACTTCAAAGAGGGTCAATGAAAGGCCATATTTTGCCTCAGAAAGGAAACAAAACAGCCTGAAAGCTTTTACACTAGGCTAATAGAGTTGCTGATTATAACTGTAAAGTTTCCAACTTATTAAGATGTTTCATTGAAGAGTTATGCCAGGTAAGAGGTAGCAGCCATTTTTTCAATGTTCCTGAAACGTGCAATTACACCGTTTAGAAAGCTTCGCGATCTTGAGAATAGTTGAGTATTGAACTCAGCGTCCATAAAAACCCCAATACACAAGTTTTCACAATTTTCCACATTGACACCATATGTTTCAAGTTTCTACCGTAATCCTACAGTAATGAAGAAAGATGGGTGATTCGTTCTATAATGCAAATTTAAGTTGAAGCCAGCTCTACAAAACGGTACCTGAAGCAAGGCAAAAGACTTCTTGAGAAGAGAGATATTAACGATCAAACGTTCGATACATTTTTTGGGACACCCTGTATATTAGGTCGTTCCAAAAGTAAATTGGCTTTTTCAAACGGGCGCCACATTTGATGGAACAAAGATTTTTGAGAGAACTTGGAGGCATTCAATGCAGCATTTCATTTTCTTTTAACAATTATGAAAATGTGGCAAAACAGTCAAAACAGTCTTTCATAAAATGACCAAAATCTGCGACCTATGCTTTTTGAGATGGTCAAGTTTCACAACTTTTCTAAAGTCTTATATCAACCCTCCGAAAAGTACAAACAAGTAACAGTCAGTCCGATAGAGCAAAAACCATATAGAATACAATACAACTTTTTCTCATTTTTATAGCTTGTCGTATTTTCTAAAAGATTTTTAACGAAATCATCGGATTTTGGCAGGCCACATGAGCCACAGTCGCATAAAACATCAAAATTATTCGGATTTTGAGACTACCGATGGTACTATGAGTTAGCACTGATTTTACAAAGCAAGTGAGAGTTTAAGGGTTCAAAATATCATATTCGGACTTTCTCGGGCACATGCTGGGGCTCGCTAAAAAAATGAGTTATGATGGTTTGTTTTCGGAAACGAAACGAATCGGAAACAAAAAACATCCTTTGAAAAGAGGAGAAGATGCTGCATTGAATAGTGCCCGAGCTACTCTTCTTTTGATGTTTTACGAGGATTTAGCTCTCCAAGTATGGAAATCGGTAGCATCAGTTAAAATTCTGTTAAAAATGTATGACTAGCTATGGAAAAGAGAAAAAAGTTGTTTTGCATTCTGTAGGGTTTGCTCTATAGAGGGGTTACTTGCACTTTTTCGGAAGATTGATGTAAATGTTTAGAAAAATTGTGAAAGTTGACCATTTCAAAAACATAGGTCGCAGATTTTGGCTATTTTCTGAAAGCTCAATGATTGTGTTGCAACAAATTCATAACCTTCGATAAGAGAATGAAATGCTGCATCGAAGATCTTCTAGAAACCTTTGTTCCATCAAATGTGCGCCCGTTTGAAAAAAGCGAAATTACTTTTGCAACAGCCTAATAGATACAGAGGATTTCACACTATCCCTAAGGTTGATATCGCATTTCAGCGTGACGAAGTGTGAGGAGCCTTACTGGCAGCTCCGGCGGCTGGCTGCGGCAGCAGTCGGCTGCCTGGGTGCCACTTGCACGCCTCCCAATGGCAGTAGCGTCCGAGATCTCTAATGGGAGGACGAGGTAAAGAATTGTTTGGGTGAAGGGGAAAACTTTCGGGATGGTTTTCAATTTTTGAGGGCCTGCAGTCTCGAAATTTTAGGGAAACTGAGCGTGACGACAGGCACGCACCCAACATTTTTGTTACGGTACAGGTGTGAGTTCAAACTTTTGAAAGTTGTTGATTCCGTATGCTGTTTTATTTGGTACGCTGTTATTCATAAAACTGTGCACATTTGTTACGGCTACGATCTGCGATGCAATCGGTTTGAAAAAGCTCTTTAAGGCTAAGCATCCACGGTTGTTCTTTCAAAAGGTTTGTACAAACAGTCACTGGTGTGAAAGCTCAGCATTGCTTTGTTTAAAACTTGGATTTTTTTCTCGATATTCCTTTAAATGAGAAATACGGCAGCTGCTAAAATGTATGATGTGGAACATGGCTTCAGCATGCAAAAATCTTTGCAGGATATCTATAAAGTTTTCATTTTTTTCGAATTTCTGATTTGTCTGCAAACTTTGTGTGTTGGTGCAATTTTTGGAAACCTTCTTGCAGGGCTTACCTTGATCTATCGAACGACACTCCGAAATCAATTTAGAAAGTTGAAAAAATGTCTCAATGCAGATTCCAAATGTTTTGGTGCAATTATGCATCAACCTAATACCTAGCGACGTAAACAGATTTTATCTTAGAAGTTTGAGTTGTTCTAATCAGAAAAACGAGGCTAGGAAAAACTTCTTCTCTTGCTTCCATTTTGTGATCAGGGCCCGGCACAGATGGTCTGGGGTCAAACTGTACTTCGTTTTTGGGGTTAGAAAACGGAAAAATCATTTTTGTGAGGCCCTGGGGGAACGCCGAAAAAAAAAACTACAAATGTGTCAGAGTTGTAATGTGATCAGTGCCCGGCACAGATGGTCTGGGGTCAAACTAGACTTCGTTTTTGGGGTTAGAAGCAACTGGAATATCATTTTTATGAGGTTCTGGGCGGAACGCCGGAAAAAAACTACAAATGTGTCAGAGTTTACGAGTTGAACGTGTTTTTTCGCGTCTAAAATTCGCAGCGCTCGAATTTCAAACGCATGACTCAAACAAAAAATGACTTGTTTACAGTACACAAACATTCACAACACCAAATTTGGGCCATGTGTATACAACATTACTTCGAACTATATTATGTATAAAATTTCAAGAAGTTATGTGTCCTAATACTGGTTATTGGTTTCTAGACCAACACTAAACCAACTGAGTTGGTTCAGAGCATAAATATCGGAGAGTTCACATAAGTTTTGGAACTTATTAACTTGGACGATAAGAACGCTCGAAAATCTATTATATAGCGAAGAGAGCGAATCAAACCATTGCCCCTCCACTTTTTTTGATCTGAAAATAGTGCAAGCCTACGCAGTGGTAGATATCGCGTTCCAATCACATGCGCTGTCCTTTGAACTATGTAGCGAAAAGCATCGCCAGATTGTTGAAGCCAGAAATTTTGTTGTCTTAAGGCCTCGGACAGAGTTCACGCGATTTGATCGTCGCGATTCAATAGCTATAAGACAAATGTCACGAGTTCATTGCATGCCGATCTTCTTGCATTTCGGTTGTGATAGTTAGTCATGATTAGTCGTGTTAAAAAACTATCACGACCGAAATGCAAGAAGATCGGTATGCTATGAACTCGTAACACTTTAGCGACTGAATAGCGACGATGAAATCGCGTGAACTTTGGCCGAGGCCCAAGAAGATTTCAACATTCAGAGCACTGAAATGGTACCATTCTCAAAGACGGAGCCAACAATCAACTCAAAGTTTTTTTGTTTTTTGTTGCAATTAGATACCTCGAAATGCAATTTCTTGGTTTTTTTATTGTTATGTTGATTGAATAAGATACTCCCTACTGACTTTCGTCAAAAGGGACTTCGCAATTTTTCGCAAAGTCATAGAAGACATCGTTTTCAAAAATGTACTAATTCAAGGCGTGTTGGGCCTGCTTGTGATCAATCCATGATAGAAAGCAGCTAAAAAATGACTAAAATTTTTCTTCTTCAATAGGACAAACCAAGAATTTACAATTCTCAATATAAAAGCAGATCCTAAAATAACCTAACCTCCAAAATCTACCCTATTTTCAGGTGTATAAGCCGCACTTTTCAATTCAAACGAGCTGCTCAGCCGCTTCATTGAGTTTCGAATAGCGATTATTATGCCGCACGATTCTTTCAGGCAATACAGCACGGTATAGGGCCATGTTGCGAGGTCCTTTCATGTGTTCGGGCTGGTCGATGTAAGCTAGAACCTCCCGCGGCTTATATACCTGAAACTAGGGTAATCGCTCTTGGGACGTATTTCGTTTTGGCAATGTTACACAACAATGTCACTATCACTTTTAGGATTTCTCGTGTCTGTGACAGAATGTGTAGCGTGAAAAAGGGTAACGGACGCAAAGAAAACTCACATCGCATTGTAGAGACAAATAAAGTTTATCCAAGCCTGGCCATCGTTGAAACATAGTTGATAAGAGCAACCCAGTTTAGTTGTATCAGAATAAACCATCTGAATATAGTAAATGGCTACACGCAAAAACGCTCTTGATCGCGGATACCTTGCCAAAGCTATCCATAGAACTGTGATATATGTTGTTCGAGTCGACGCCAAAGTTCCTTCCTTTGCCCCACCACTGCTCAAGAATTTCGTAAAGGACAGAAATAAAATCAGGGATGGTGCCACCAAGGTATCTGGAAAGCTCAACGGCTATCATATTGGAGAAACTTGTCCGTGGAATCACATCATTGCTTATGTTTTCGGAAGCATAGGTGCGATAAGGTGAGAATGACTTCTCCAGGAAGAAGGGGGTCACAGTGGTCGCAGCCCATCTAGGGTGAAGGGTGTTTCCACTTGATCGAGAATTTGTAAAACGTCGACCGAGGGGGGGGGGGAGGGAGGGAGAGGCGAGTGATGGTGTTCTCTCATCGTTCTCCCTAATCAATGTTTTATCATTTTCAGTAATTCCACGAAAATTGTCTGTTCTCGAAAATACCATAAGTAGAAGATGTTTATACAAGAACATCTGTTTCGGGAATGAGGTACAATTTTTGAGCATTCACAAATTTTTGAAAGAAAAAATCTATAACTGCTGTAGATGAACAACAACGTCAGTAAGGAAATTGGTTTCAGAACCATCTTCTCTTTTGCTTTCAGGAATTATATAGCACTTGAGCACTCCCATTATAAAAGTCTCACCCACCCTCGCTGACTTGCTGTGCAGCTACAGAAGCTACTGTTTCTCTCCTCCTGGAAGCTCGTGAATGCCTAAAAATCTTCTTCCTTCTTTCCGATACACAAACAATTTCCGTACATATATCTCCTTTGCTTAGCCTTACTTCACTGTTGATTTTGTTCTTGGCTTTTGGTGAAAGGGTTCACCTTAGCCCCGGTTCAGGAGTGAAGAGCAAATTCTCACACTATCGCGCCTATGTTTTGAAATGAACACTGCCTCTTGAACATTGCTGTAGCGAATATTATAAATTTTGCATAAACATACTAAACGTATTTTCCTGGATTTATATAGACAGTATCCTAGCGTGTATCTCGACACTGATCTTAAGTCAGCTTCATTTCACCCTCCGGCAGTTATTAGTTTATTGTAAGATGTCAGCATGGAAACATGAAAAAAAACCGGTAAAGGTGGACCTCGGCAGGCGACCGCCTCAAGACTTGAGAAGAACCCCAATAATCGGTGAACCAAGAACTCAAAATTGAATGCAGGATCAAAGTATCAGCGTATATACGTCATTATTTAATTGACGCTTTATCAAAGCCTTCGTGGCTTCTGAGGTCAAGTTGAGGTCAGGCTACTATGTATATAAAAAAGTTAGAGCTTAGCAGTTATTGGTAAGTGGTCTGCAGTGCCACTTTGTCGGCATCTGTTTAGCTAAGCATTAGTGTAATCCTGCATTCACTTTTGACTTCTTTTGGTTCACTGATGCATTGGTCGTCTTTCTAAGTCTTGAAGCAGTTCTTGATAGGATAGGTATTTCATGATTCTAACATTTCCGGACTCTGAAGAAGGAGACACCGAAGCATTAGCCGATCAGCTCGTACAGATCCGTATCCGTATCCGATCCGTACAGCTAAACAAGCCACAACATGTCGTAAAGTTACAAGAAGTCGTAAAAGCTCAAAAGCATCATTTCGTAATTAGCGTGCCAAATAACCGCCGTGGGGCAAGCCCTAGCGAGTTTGGGGTTTCCAAATCTTGGGATACCAAGTGAGATGGTTTGCATTTAATACAAAGTACTACTACTTCTTTGCTCATGTTAGGAATCCCACTACATATTACTTCCAAACTATGGAATTAAAGGCAGTGTCCAGGCAAATCTGGACCCTTTGGTTTTTTGCGTGGAAACTGATGAGGGGCCACTGACTAAACCACTGCCCGAGTTGCAGCGCACGGGATTCACTCACGGCAGAGAAATCGGCCTCCGAACCCGTCGTCTCCGCGCCGTGACCGTAACACCTTAACAGCCTAAACGCACATCATGGTCCCGGCGCGAAACCATGAGGACAGGCTGTAGCGCGGAAACTCGCTGAAAAAAATTCCACAAATTCGAAATGACACGGAAAATGAAGATAAACCATATGAAATCAACTAAAACACCATGAAAACACAGAAAAGACGAGAGAAAACAAGTAAACAACGAAAACAATGGCAAATCACAACAAAAGAGAAGGATTAGGAAATCGGCAGTATTTGTGCAACGAGTTTCCGCGCTGCACCCTCTCCATGGTTTCGCGCCGGGACCGTGATGTGCGTTTAGGCTGTTGAGGTGATACGGTCACGGCGCGGGGACGACGGGTTCGGAGGCCGATTTCTCTGTCGTAAGCGAATCCCGTGCGCTGCGACTCGGGCAGTGGTTTAGTCAATGGCCCCCCATCAGTTTCCACGCAAAAAAACAAAGGGTCCAGATTTGCTTGGACACTGCCTTTAAGAGGGAGTCAAAATCTCGTTTGTCCCATTTTCGCTTTCAATATCTCAACTAGAAAAGGCATCAGGCTCAAACACGTTTTTGAAATTACGCGTCAAACTATCAAATACATACATATATTCTTACCGCCTTTTTATTGCTCTTCACATAGCAGCGCAGCTTAGCATGTTACCATGACCCTGTTTTTGCAGTATTTTCCTCTTGCATAAGTAAGGAAGAACGGCTTTATTTTTTCCCAGGAGAAACGATTTTGAACGAAATTTATGCTGTGTAGAAAAAAAGATTTAGAAATGGTAACGATATAAGAAACTTAGATTTTTAAATGTAAAGGTAAGTTGGTGAGGTGTGGCACAACCTCTAAGGTGTGGCATCTACAGCTTTTCTGGGAATGTGCCGAACCCCATTACTTCCACCCAAAGAGAATTTTAGCAAACAAAAAAAAAATATTTGAAAGCCAAAGATCTTCTCTTTTCTATAGAATTGATTAGTGCTTAATTCGTCTTCTTTCCTTTGCAAACACAAGCACTGTAAGCGAAAACTAGGACAAATGAGATTTTGGCCGGTTCTTAATTCCATACTTTAATGGTCATCTAAAGCAGGATTTTTGATATGGGCGAATAAGGACTAATGCTTTGTATTGAGTACAAAAAGAGGTGGCTAATTTGCCTTTGAAATATAATCAACCACGTTTGCAAATGACCACTTCATCAAGTCATCTCATGAAGTCAATCATTACTCTCCTGTCTGATGTTAGTAGAAAAATCCAAATTCTTTTCTCGTTTTGAGTACTCGAGAGAGTATGCTTATTCATGAAGTCAGAGCTGAATGCGTATCCAAATATTTAATCTTTGTTTCTCGAATGATAGACTTGTAATTCGCGAATCCCTCACAGATTCAGCATGAGCGTTTGCTTTTGGAAAAAACTCACTATTGTGTGTATGCTTCTGCAAGTAGCAGCACGTGCCATAGACTAATGGTACTCTTGTGATTACCTGTGTTGCAGGGATCCTATTGATTGTCACTAGATGTACGTAGATAAAGTTTACAATAAGATCTGGTTCTTGGCACACAATAATGGCACTGCTCTCGAGGCATCTATTTCTTTTGTCAATATGCATAAACATAATTGAAGGCCACTCAAGAATTACGTGCTGAAGGTGAAGGAGTTTTATTTGTTTTTACGTTTTTTGCTAATTATCTTTTTTTGTTGATGGCAAATCGGGTGAGGCTGAGGCTAGCTATAGTATAGAAAGCTTCGGTAATCAAATCACAAATCACTTATCATGCTAAGTTTTCAAAACAAGTGATTTGTCAGGCCACAAAATAAAAACTTGCTGAGATTTTGGATAAATAATTATTCACACAAGGCGGGAATGTATTTGGTTGAGAAGAGAAGACGTTTCTGTTGGTTTCTATGAATGCCTTATACCATATGAACTTGTCGAACTTCACTGTGGCATTTTTGGAAATGTAGAAACTAGACCTTATGACAAAGGTACACAAAAGTGGTGCAAAAGCCTAGTTCGAGCGCTGATGACGCTGACAGTCAACCAAATAACAGCCTCAGTTCCTAAAACAGCATTCTGAGTAAAGCTGCTTTACTTTAAAAAAATTTATTTTAGTTCAAAATACTATTGAGAGGATGAAGTTTACCACGTTACAAATAGATATAAAAATGTGGAATATAGTGGGAATATCAGGGCTCGGTGGTATCTTTCCGAAAATGCAAAAAAAAGTCCCCCTTGACATTTGCAAAACTTTAGAAATCCTCTTTGACCCTTATCCGAATCGACTAAAAAACGAAATCAAATAAAAACACCTAATTTCGGACCCACAAAACCCCCATTGCTTTCTGTCCCAAAAACATATTCAGCTTGCTTATAAGCCATCTGTGCCGAGCTCTGACAAAAATATCTACATTTTCGCGTAAATGCGCCCTTATGCTGATATTGACAATTCTACAGAGTTTTTTGTTTTATCGGAATAAGACACCCAAAAGCAATAAGAGTTTGACATTCAAAACCTAAATACAAAATTTTCCCAAAGACAAAGGAAACAATTGAAACAGATAACACTGTTTTGAACCAGATCATAGGCTTCCGTTTGGTGAAACAGTATTCGAAGTTTTCTCATCCTCCAGAGTTTGGAATGACTAGTTCGGTCAGAGGAACTCCGGGAACTTAAAAGTGGGCGACGAGATCTAGTCAGGGCCCGGCACAGCTGGCACAGGGTCAAGCTGGTGATATTGTTTTTGGGACCAAAAGCAAAGGGGATAAAAATTACAAATCACAAATTAAAATTTTACATATTGTGACCTACTGAAACTATAAAAAAGCTTTTTGAGCTTTAGACCGCAGAATACAAGAAAAGATTGAAACATGGGAAAGCCAAGTGTCAACGAAATTGGATTTCCAACCAAAGGAAATAAGCTCAATCACGTCTGATATCATCAACAACTACACCAAGAAATTATTGCATATAATAGCTTTGAAATGGCCTTTTTATCTCGAGATGTTCGAGTGACTACTAAAGTAATCAAACCTTGCACGAAAGTTTTAAGAGAATTCCATTTTTGTGAAATTTTCTGCATTTGGAGGGGAAATCCTAATTTTTTGTAATTTATAAAAAAATCAGCAAGGCAACCACGGCGTTACATAGTGATAAAGAAAAAGAACTAATTGTATTTTTCAAGTGTCGAGCTCAGCAAATGCTCAAAGGGCCAACCTTCGCCAGTTTTTTGATGATATTTTGATTATTTGATGAAAGTTTGTATTGTTCGGTTGTTCTACGAAGAGTTATATTTTTCGATTTTTCGGCATTTTTTAAAAAGCCGTCTAAAATCTATGATATGCATAAAATACGATATTGAATATTTCAAAAGAGGGAAAAGGAAAAATAGAAAAGATTAAAAAGAGTGATACGTAAGGTATGAACACTAAAGAAATTTTCATGGTTTTCGGTCAAGATTCGTATATCAAGCACAAAGAAGAAAAGAAGAAAAATATGTCTATTCAAATCACTTTGAGTAGACGTATTTTTCTTTCCACAGAAAAATGAAAAATTCGTCATTCAAAATGATTTGTTCTGTTTCCTAGTGGCGCACGGCTTATAATTTCATATCCTTTCTCTGATCTTTGATAGCTTATTTTGGTTTTTGACATACGGCTCAACCAAGCCGTGGAGATTTTGACAGTGGCGTAGGCGTCCAAATGAAGAATATCTGACCATAGATAGAAGACTTTATAAATTAAACTTAGTTCTCAATTTACTGATGGTGTAAAAATAGATTCTGCTACATAAACAATCTCTGGAAAAATGTCGGTTATCAAAAAGACTATTACGGTATTTGTCAAATAAACCATTTGGGTACTTCCTTTATTCAGGCCCATCTTTTCAACGGGCTCTCATATTATACGTTCTTTAATCTGAGAATAATTTTCTTATAGATTCTACGAGGACTGCCTCCTTGCCACGCGTCACGAGAAAATTGACATGTTTTGATCTACTTTGACACGTTTTTTTTTTCGAATTCACTTCCAGTGAGATAAAAGAAACTTTGTGATCATTTTGAAGTTGTTTAACTGTTTTACATAGATGCAAAACATTCATTAACTTATTTTAGAACTCTTGCTTGCTTTCAGCAGCGAATCAAAAATATACTTCTCATGAAACCCTTTTCGCCATGCGAATTTAGCCAAAAAGACTATAAATGATAGCTTGAGGTACCTTGCTACTGCTTGTTTTGCTTCTTAAATAACGGAATCCTAGCGCGCTTCTCTATCCTAAACAAGTGTAATCTGTTCATCGTTGATAGTATGTCGTTATTATTATGACAATGTTCACTTTGAAACTGTTTGATTGAAATGAGGTCAAGATTGACTAAAAACATATTGAATTTATATCACTATGTAGAGTAACATAAACTCTTGGTAAAGCCTCTTTAACATGTAGACAAGACATGTCAGATTTTTTGGCATGAAGCAAAAGGTTGACACTCTTTTTGTGAAGCTGGAACGATGTATGGTACAAGGGCAGCATTATCTCTCTTTGAAAAAATGGGTCCGGATAACGGAAAAATACCAATTTTTGTTATATCGCTGTTCTCATCTCGCTAACGCCTTGTAAGACTGTGGAAGTATTTTATTAGTGTGTATATTACAGACATTGTCAACTACTACGGCTTTGTACAATCCTGCATACTCAAAACGATTTTTGACAAAAGAATATACGTTTCGGCATCCTCATAGCCTCCTTAGCGCTAAAATTTATAACTTTAAGCAGCATTTTATGCAAGTTGCAAAGCAATTTGCAGACAGACAGCATTTTGAAATAAAGACGACATTTTCATCATGTTCACCGCATTGTTGGGGTAACCTGGAACAAAGCCTGGACAAGCGACTGCGATTTGCGCTTTGTACTCCAAATCACAGTTCCACCCCTAGACAAAGATTTGTACTATTTATCGTTCAAATCTCTGAAAACACTGAATGTTCAACTTCTTAAAGGCAGCGTCCAGGCAAATCTGGACCAATGGGGACTTTACGTGGGAAGTAATTTTGGGGCTTTAACTAAAGCACTGCCAGAGCGGCAAATCGTCGCGATGCGGGCTCCCGCCAGTCCATTTCCGCCTAAACTGAGCTAAAACTTATTGTATGCTTCCAAATTAGACCCCAGGATCGTACAATACCGCTCACAGAATGTGCAAAATTTTCGTGAATGTCGCGAAATTCCGAAAATTCGGCGATATTCCCTAGATTCCGCGAAATTCCGGGAATGTCGCGAAGTTTTGCGAAAGTTTCGGAATTTTGCGACATTCTCGGAAGTTTTGCACATTCTTTGAGCGGCATTGTATCTGGCTGATAAACTGACAAAACGGTAATTTTTTCATCTGCTGCTAGCAGATGAACGTTGAAAACGCCATGTGAATTTTGTTATCTAAACCTTCATGCTGAAGTGATTTATAAGCTACTCTACAGTTATGACAATGCCACATGTTCGAATGCCCGTATGAAGCAAATCTTATAATTTCCGCTCATATGGATTACTCGACATGCCAACAACATTTCTTACATTGTTTTGCTGCTGGTGGCATATAGTGGATGAAATATCTACCAAATTACACGATTTTCAAATTTGAGAGACAATACATAAGAAGGCGATTCTGTAACATCGTAATCTGACAAGAATGCAGATAAAGATCTGTGCTAAGTATTGTCTGGTAGAGCTTTCACAAGATCTTAAACGCACAAAAATTTGCAGACAATTTCCGCAATAGATAGGCGAAAAGTGCAAGCGAAGTTGCGATCTTGACGGGTTCAACTACTTCTATCTCACTCTAGCTTTACTGTAAGAATTTCTAGTGCAACTAGAATTTTCGTAAAGATTGGAACCAAAAATCACTATGAGCGAAGTTTTCGGTCAATTCTAAAAAAATGGAAAAAATATGGGGCGTATAAGTATGAGAGAGGTGTCTAACGTAATTTTTGGAGGAACTACGGGGAAACTTTGGAGGAGTCGATTTCACGGCCTGAGCATGCATGTTTGGGGGCTAATAACTCCGCGAATATTACAGATATAGGGCTAAGGTTTGTTGATGTACTAGTATTTCTTATGCCGCACAGTTTGGTATGGTGGAACTTTATTGACCTAACGTTTCGAACAACTCGTCTTCGTCGGAGATCTGAAAGGGATTGTAGTTTACGCATCCGCTGTACTGTGCTGCCAAACATCTCCTCTGAGTTCGCTTTGCGAGACTTTTTCTCAGACGCAACGTACTGGGCACATCGAACGAGGGCAGAAAAACCTTCGATCCACCAAAGAGTCAGTAGTCCGCACTAAATCAGTGCGACGGACATCACTGAGTTCTGTCCAATGTGTCTTGCTACTTATAGTGTGCGGCATCAAGCTCACACAACGATATCAATGGCAGTAGATCACTCGTTATCGTCAGACATTCATTTCTGTTCTTCATACTCGGATTACGAGAGTATATCCACTCTGCTTCAAGGATCTTTCGTGCTAGGATATCAGTCTCAAACGCTAGGATGACACATTTGGCGCTAAAATCATTGCCGCCGTGCTCTTCAACTTATGCTTACCTAACGAAGACAGTAGGTTTCCTTGCCTCATGTTCGTCAAGTGCTCGCTTACTCCAGTACTCAAAGGTCTACCCTTTCTCCAGTGTACATTGTTCTCCAACTCAAGCATTATAATTGGGTAGACAGTTCCCGATTTAGCGCAGTCCCCAATTTTCCCGTAAGGACAGACTATGCAGTTCTTTGATACACATTCAACATCGTAAACTCTGTTTCTACCAACCGCCTTTTGATATTATCGCTAGGAATGTCGATTAGCATGACTTCATATTGCAGCTGTGCTCACAGACGTATTCGAGGCGCACAGCTATTTCCTCCGGCTCACTTCGCACTCGGTCACGCTTTTCGCCTTGGAGCGCGGCAAGCTCTTTGAACTTGAGTCCATTAACTATCACATCACAATCATTACATCCACGACCTAATAAAGCTATCTCGTCCCACTGAAGCCTGTTTGTTTTTTCGCCGTTGTCTTCTTGTTTCGCAATATCACATGATGCGTAACTCTGCAATTCTTTTGATTGATATCGGTTATGAGGGGTCTTCTTCTTCGCACAGTTCCAAGTTTCTCGCTTTTCAGCATTCTTGCACATCTTTTTATTTGGAGCTGACAAAATGGCGAAGAATATGGAGAACACCAGTTATCGCAAATTAGATGTGGATGCGTATGATCCAGAGAATTACGACGAAAACGAGGATGCTGAGTCATTCTGCATCTCTTTTTTTCTTTCCCGTTCCTTATGTATTGTTATACGGAATGATTTTCTAGAGTCATGGCTTCCTTTCTGACATAATACGAGCAAAAACACACTATTTGTGACTAAAATAAATATTCAACAGAAAAAATGTTTTTCCATCATTCAGAAAGCCGTGATTTTTGACATTTCTCTGCAAAATTCATGTGTCTACAAACTCTGGACTTAAACCGAACTAAGTCAGTTCTGCTCTGATTTTGATCCCCGCCATGCAGAAGGAGGTGGCGAGTGATGGCCAGAGAATGGTATGAACAAGTTAGTTTCATCTTGTGATACTCGGTTTTAACCCAGTATCACAAGATGAAACTTTATTCGATTCTGATTATCATAAAGTGAATGAAGGGACTGTGCGGTCTTTCAAATCAGCATTCGATTTATCATCATTCAGTTTTTTCCAAAGAGGATCAGTTCAGGAGTTCATGCAATTCACTGATAAACTCCTCGTAGAAAGATCGGGACTGGGCGCGCGTAGTACTGTGAAGGAAAACGAATATTTTAGCCATTGCTACGTGCGCAGTGACGGCTTAGCAGCGGTCTCCGTTACGGATAGTGAATACCAGGCACGCGTTGCCATGAGCATGATGACTAGAGTGTTGGACGACTTCACATCTAAAGTTCATTTCTAAAAAGTTACATTTCTAAAAACATTTTTTAAGAACTATATCGCTGAACGAAGCTCTATGCGGGTATGAAATCCCATTGGAACATCTTGACGGCCGTACTTTGATTTTGAAGAATAAGCCAGGAGACATCATAACCCCAGGTTTGGCATTGTTCTGAAAGAAATTCATTTGTTACAGCATCTTTTACATGATGTTTTCATTTGCTCAGATTGTATTCGTGGTGTAATCGGAGAAGGTATGCCGCAAAGGCGACATCATGATCTTCGTGGAAATCTTTATGTAAAGTTTGATGTAGCCTTCCCAAATGATCACTTTTTGGAAGACGACACGAAGTACAAGGTTTGTCCTGAGACTCGGTTCAGCATTTTGAGTTTTGTTTGCATGAATGTAATGCTTTTAGATGATTGAAACCGCATTCCCACCAGTCAGGAAAGTTGCATATCCGTCGAATTGTGAAGAGGTATGTGGTTCTTATTGTTATGTGTGATCACCAAGCACACCTACTTTTGCGGCAGTGGAAATCTTTATCTATTTTTGCCAAATACTGATTATGTCGCTGCCTCCATTTTTGTCAACGCTACCATAATGGAGTTTAGGTGTCTTTGATGGAATACGATGAGAAGCGGTATCGTGGCGGCAGAGGAGGAGGACAAGCTTATGAAGAAGACGGATCGGATGAAGAAATGGGTCATCACGGGCCTCAGGTGCAATGTGCACAAAGCTAGAGTCATTCTCAAATCTTCTCGTTTTTTTCTTATTTTCTCTCGAATCATTTGGCGATACTATGCTTTGATTGTGATCTTTAGATACTAATGACTTGGAAATCTTTATCTGTTTTTGCCAAATACTGATTATTTCGCTGCCTCCATTTTTGTCAACGCTACCATAATGGAGTTTAGGTCTCTTTGATGGAATACGATGAGAAGCGGTATCGTGGCGGCAGAGGAGGAGGACAAGCTTATGAAGAAGACGGATCGGATGAAGAAATGGGTCATCACGGGCCTCAGGTGCAATGTGCACAAAGCTAGAGTCATTCTCAAATCTTCTCGTTTTTTTCTTATTTTCTCTCGAATCATTTGGCGACACTATGCTTTGATTGTGATCTTTAGATACTAATGACTTGGTGAAAATGTACTCAGTAGTTATTCGAATGAATGTGCTGTTTAACGCTGTCCTGAAAACATTTGCTGAAAATGAATGTTGTTTACTTCATTTGAATCGCTTGTATAGTATTCTTTCTTGCTTCTGCAAAATACTAGCAAATTTTAGTTTTCTCATCATAGGTAATGTACTAGTGATGAGTCCAGGTAAATTGATTGACCGTTGATGATAAAGAGCGTGCGAGTACTGGGTATCTATGCGAAAAAAAGTCATAATCAAAAAACTGGGGAGATCCTTTTGGGGATGCGAAAAACTCACAGGGGTGCGAGATACTTAGTCAAAGCGGGAACTTCTGCGAGGTGACAGCAACAAGTTTTAAGCAACGATGATGTCAGAGTATCTCCCAGGTAATCTACTGCATATCTCCTGTGATTGAGAAAAATCTCTGTAAGGATTTACGAGGTTTCTCTGAATGCCATGGGTGGGTTGCTTTTTTAGAGTAGATTAGCAAGCCCCTTAGCTGTTAACAGCCCTCAGATCATCTGCGAAAGTCGAAGAGGAAAAACCTCTGAGTTGGGAAGAGCTTTCGACTTGCAGGTTGAAATTTGTCGGAGATGCACACTGCCACTTAACGCACAAATGTTGTCGTCAACGCAGAGACACTACACCAATCGCCAAAACGGCTAGACTTTGTGTATACTCAATTGGTGCTTTTGCATAAAACATTACACTGCGAAATCTGCTTTTTGGGTAAAAACACGCGCTGCCTGCGTTTCAACTTAGCATCTCGAAAGCAATTTTATGCAAAAATGGCTCAATCAAAAGGAGAAAGTTAGTATCTCGAAATAAAGTTTGATGTATAATAGAAGGAACGGAAATTAAAGGTTATCGCAAAGTGCTGTGAAACCCCAAAGTCTTGCGGAAGTCTCACTCTGAAACAGCAACAATGATGGCGCAGTTCAATCGGTGGAGAGTGATTGTGATGTGATAGTTGATGGACCCAAGTCCAAAGAGCTTGCCGCGCTCCAAGGCGAAAAGCGTGACCGAGTCAGGGCCCGGCACGAGGTCGGCAAATGACAAGCTGGAAATCGTTTTGGGGCCAAAAAGCAAAGGGGAAATCGTTTTTGCGGGGTCCGGGGCGGAGCCCCGGAAAAAAATTGGTAGTTCATGCTCGCTACTTATCTTGACATGTTATGTGCCTCAACAGGCGAACACTGGAGTTCGCGCGCGTCAAACCGCGCCGTCGCTAATTGCCGCACGCGCGACGTCGCCCAAGCGATGCTATTTGTAACAGCATGCATGACTAGTTCTCAATGTATGTGTAACGATATGGCACCAAATTTTGTATGCGAACGGAGAGAGGCTAGTGGAAACATAGCATGAAAATTTATGAAAATCTTATGTGAACGGAACGAGTAATTAGCATTTTTTCCGAGAATTTCGCAAAACTGGTAAATGAAGATGTGAATTCAAACGGCTAGTTTGGAACGCGCAGATGAACGATATGGCATGAAACTTGGTAAGTACATGCAAACGGACTTGCAGGGCTTAACTGAGGAGTTTCATTGAAAAATTATGTGACTGAAGGTTGTGGCAAACTTTTTTCTGAAAATTTTGCGCTACCAAAGAAATGGAAAAATGGCTCGTTTGCAACGCAGAGGTAACGAAATCGCGCGGGATTCGGTGTGTGTATGCGCAGTAGGACTAAGTAACTAAGTATGAAATATTATGAAAAACTTATGTGAATGAAAAGTTTCCTTAACTAATTTCCAAATTAGGTCGGCATTTGCCGACCTAATTCCCACCTGAGGTCGGCAAAACTCTCAGTTCACATAATTTTTTCAAAATTTTTACATAAATCTGTTGTACACCTAAAGTTTACTACATGGTGAAATTTTGGTTCCAAAACTCCTCCTCTTGACCTTGTTAGAGCCCAAAATCGCATCAGCAGCCTAGCTTTTTAAGATGGAAAGCGCGCTCCAGTCAATCGATACGCGCGGGAGCGGCGTCTCTCATTCCTATGACTGCGTTTCTTTGATATTTTCTCATTCCTTAATCATTTTCTTGCTTATTTTTCTTTCTGTTTTCTATCTTGATCCAGCTGAGGAGTAATTTAAGGAATTTAAGCAATTTGGGCGCTTTTGAGCGCTTTTAGGCGAAGTGTGGCCTTTAATCTGGTCGCACAAGCACAAAACGTCATTTTTGGGCTCAAGGGGGTATTCGTAAAATTTGTTGGGATCAAAGGGGAATTCGTTTTGGAAAACCCCGTTTGCCCACCTTGTGCCGGGCCCTGGACCGAGTGCGAAGTGAGCCGGAGGAAATAGCTGTGCGCCTCGAATACGTCGTGCTCACAAGATGCTCTGTCTTATGGCTTCGCTAATTCTATCGAAAACAAACGGTATGCACAAGGAATCTTGTTGTTCTTGTTGCGCTTCGTAAGGCTAACACATTTGTGATAACTAGACTGTTTTTTACGTGATCCTCCTGCTCCAAGCAAGCTGCAAAATGAAGTTATGCTGAGCCGTTACTGAGTGCAATGTCAGCTGCCAATTGTCGTGACTCGAGTCGCTCGTCATCGCCTGTGCACATCTCGGTAGCACTTTTGAACATATTCCGTATAATAGCATGTTTGACTGCTGAGGGGTGGGCTGACGTAGCTTGTAAGATGATGTTTCTCGAGCTTTCCTTTCTGTACCATTTTATGCGTATACGGTGTTGTCAGACAAGTTCGCCTGTGTATTCATAAAGAAAGCCATCCACCGCGAGGTGTTTCACGTGGTCCAAAAGGTCGAAGGTCCCGTCACGTTGTTCAACACACATCAGTTTATTGAGCGGCTAAATGGCAGCAGCTATTGTCAAATCTCCTCTTTTGTGGCTATGGCTAAGTCTTAAGAATTTCCGCATAGTTTTGATATTCTATAGAAACGAGAAACTGCGCTTAAACCTCGCGCAAAGAGTTCCGCTCGAAAATGCTGGTTTATCGCGGTAAGAAATGATTAACATCGCCGACGTTGTCAGTGCTTTTAGTCGTCTCATGACGGACATGATGATATATGATGTTGCAGAATTTTGTTAAGAATCCGCAAAGATCTCCAAACAAAGTCAAGCCCTCTCTCGGTAATGTTGTTCTCCTCTGTTCGCCTGCGTCTCCACTCGCTGCGCGCTGCCTCGTTGCCCACTCAGCTACGCGCTCAACGGGGCATTTGGCTTTGATAGACATTCTCGTGTTTCAAAGTAAATCCTTCAAAAATGTATACCATCCTGTAGCTCTAAGCTCTCAAGATGCGCTGATAACGTAGCCGTCATTTTTTGATATAGATGAGAGATCTGGCAAAAAAACCACTTCGAACATCTTCCATTTTCGTTCAAATTAGCTCATTCACGCAGTCTTTTGTGGAATCGATGAATCTTGCTTTTGTCTATGATGCAGACCATCCGTGCTAACTTTCTATTTTGTAGCGAACTATTTTTGAAGCTGCAGAAAGCGCGTTTTCTTTATGGCTCTTTTCTGGAGTGCGTACGCAAATTCTCTTCAAGCTTAAGGTTTTCCGCGCAGGATGATGCGCAGAACAACGCTAATAACGTTGCGAAAACGGAAACCACATGGCGGGCAAAAAATCCAAGGACGCACTAATAATTAGTTTGTCTATGAAGAGTGCATTTTCCCTTGAGAGAGAAAAGTGCATTTTCCCTTTTACGACTAATTTTTTGACTGACTAAATTTTGACTAAATTTTTCTTCTTCTTGGCGATCGCCACTACCGTTCGTCATTGCTTTTGAGACAATTATCAAAAAAAAAAGCACTTTCTTGTTTTGAACTCCAGCGGATTGGCGGCTGAAGCGAAAAGCTCCGTTTCAAAATAGAGTACGTGGAATATAACGAGCTCATCAGCATTTACCCGGCTTTGAACAATTTCTTCTGCTTTTTCGGCTTGTTTTACCTTTTTTTTCTAGCTTTCTGCAAGCAACCTTCACTTTTATGGAGGACAGAGATTCAGACAACCTTCACCTTTGAAGTCCACTAGACTGACGAAGGTATGTGTACTTATAAGTGCCTCTTCGTTGTTCTCACTGTGTTTTCGTAAGCAAGCACACTCATCTCCTTGCTCCAATTCGCTCCAGGTCAAATTTTCCAAAAGTCGAAACAACCGATAAATGCAGTTTTTTTCGAAACTGATTGCTTTTATTAAGATGCCCACTCACCACATTTGCTATCTCTCACAAGGGAAGGATACTTGGTCGAAGTGCCGTTTCCACTGGATATGTAAACCATCTTATAGAGCATGGAACACTGATTCAGAATCTACTTTCGGTATCTGCAAAGAGCTTCTGACAAGGGAATGGTCAGAAGTCGAAGTGGCCAATCCATACAAGCTGCCCACCATGCGATGCAGCATGAAATGCTGATTTCAATCTGTCTTCCATATCTGCAGAGCGCCTTTGTAGGCGAAGTTATGAGCAGCTTTACTGCGAAAAAAATCGTACACAAAAACTGCAAAATTAGGCACGTTATTGCTCTTACGGCTCACCTCTAGGTGAAGCCGTAAGAGAAGAAGTTCAAGTTCCGGTTCATCATATGAAGTGACCTAGTTGCATGTTTTGGTCCAACACTGAGCCGAGAATGGAATC